ATTAACTGACTGGGGTGGTGGGAGCAGATGCTGGAAACAAGAAGGTCATGCCGAAGACAAGAGCAAATGTTCCCAGAAACTGAGTGGTCAGGTTTCTTTTAAAAATGTGCACAGATTGTATTTCTGGAGGGAGCCTGTGAGTTGAAAGCAAACAGAAATCCCACAAAACAAATAACAATTTGTTTTCAGCCGGATTTGGGCTTATACATTTGAACTCAGCTCACCAACATGTGCGTTGTAATCTTTGTGCTCAAGATAATAGCATTTTAAAGTTAGAAGAGCCTTTAGAAATCATTGAGGTCACCCCTTTCCACCCATTTTATAGAAAATAAAACTAGAGCGGGCAGAAGTGAAATGACTTGCCCATGATCACATACCTATAACTCTTAGATCATGCTTCTTTAAAATACTACTACCACTACTGCTGCTGCTGCTACTACTACTACTACTACTACTCCTACCACCACTACCACTACCTGCTGCTACTATCACAACCACTTTTAAGCCCAAATAATAAATAAATCCGAACCTCATTGAAGTTGTGTTATATACTTAGGTGACCAGAGTAGCAGATTATTTTCCTAATTTATTTTTGAATTGAAGTAAATCAGCAAACATTCATAATGCCTTTCCTAGGCATTATGGTTAAAAACATCCCAGTGACATATATACAAATGGGGTCACTCAGAGTCAGGCATGACTGAGCAACAACAAAATACAGAGATGAAAGTGAAGGTTGAGATAACTTTCAAAATAGTAAAAAAAAAAAGACATGTACGTAGAACATAGAAAGGCAGTTGTAATCATAGAGAAAGAACTGGTTTGGTGTCTGGAAAGCCTGAGTTTAAGTCTCACATGTGGCATATATTGGATACTTGACACGGACAGTTCATGTAACAGCTCAGTGGCTGAGGCTACTGTCTAAGAACATAAGGTACACAGCACTTGGTTATTTGTATTGCTGAAGGAAGTTTCCTCTTTGGAAGTTTACCTCCCTCTCAATGAAATCACAATAAAAAAAAAATAAGGGTAGACTATAAGCTATTTGAAAGCAGGGACTGTGTTACTGGTTTTTACCTACCATATAGTAGGTGCTTTTCACACGGTAGGTGCTTTCATAAATGTTTCTTAAATTGAAGTTGTGGAAAATCTTGATGTGGAGAGCAGTGGGTTGGGGAGCCAGGACGTATTTGATTCTTGATCTTGCCCTGCTGTTCCGCAGTTCTATATTTTTGGAACGGTCACTGGACTTCTCTGGGCCTTGGTGCCCTCTTCTGTAAAATTGGATAATAATGTCCATCCTGAGTAAGTCACAGAAATGTTGAAGTGAGATTAAAGCAGATCAGATATTGGGAAGCACTTTGAAAAGTACAAAGCATAGGGAATATCTGAAGGATTATTATAATCAGCCAGTCCTCTCACCAGACCATCTCAAAGGATTTGAATTAGTTGTTCCAGTTTCCTTAGATGATCAGGGGAGAATCTGGTAAGGTGGTGTTTGCAATAATAATAATAATAATAAAGCAACAGCAATAAAATATTTTTTAAAAACCAACAACAAATGATTATATTGAATATTTAACTTCTATGTGCCCCATACTATTTTAGCTTTTGTGGAAAATAAAGAAATGTAATGATAACTTTATTTTCATACAACCTTCCACAAGCTCTTTTTTTTTTGCCATGCACTTTATGTACAGTAGCTCATTTGATCCTCAAAATAACCCTATAACACAGAGACTACAGAAGAGGAAAGTAGAGAGCCTCATTGAGCTTAAATTACCTGGTAGGGGGCAGCTAGGTAGATAGAGTGCTGGGCCTGGAGTCATTTTCCTGATTTCAAATCTGGTCTCAGATACTTCCTAGCTGTACAACCCTGGGCAAGTCATTTAACCCTGTTTGCTTCAGTTTCCTCATCTGTAAAATGAGCTGGAGAAGGAAAAAACAAACCACTACAGTATCTTTGCCAAGAAAACCCCAGACGGGATCAAGAAGAGTCAGACACGCATGAATACAACAGAACAGCAATAAAGTCCTCCAGTAAATAGGTGTCAGAGGCAGTATATAAATCGAGGGCTTCCAGATTCCAAATCTAGCATGCTGCATACTATGCCATCCTCTCTGAGTAAGAGATGGGTCCTTCCCTTAAGGATTTTTTAAGGTATTTTAGGAGCCTTTTTTGGGGGGGTGAAATACCCAAGCAGATAAAATCCGGTCACATTTATGAAAAAAAGATCAGACACACATAAAATGAGACTAGACCAGACCTAAACAAGAGAGTAGTTGAAGGACTAGCCAGGATAATGAAGGGTGTCTGAAGCAATTGTCTTCTGTGGCTGCTGTCCTCCCTCTCAATTTGGGCATTCAGATCTGTGTTGGACTTTTGTTATAGGGAAGATTTCATGGAGGGATAACTTCTGGGATAACTGATTTCAAGTATTCTGTCCCATTCATAGACATAAGAGTTGTCAGATCATGTGTGTTGATATTCTAGTTTGGAAAATATCATCATTACATGCATTGAAAGGTAACAAAGTGCTTTAAGTGTTCAAGGAAAAGAAGAATTTTTCTGACAAGGGGAAAGGGAGGGGAAGGGTGGCATGGAGACAGATGAGTAAGAGATTGGATTTCTCACAACTTTGTGCAAGTTTTAATTTTTTTTTTTTAATTTTTCCACCACGCTTAATTTTTCTCATCGGAAATTCCAACTTGTGGACTTTTCAATGCACAAAGCCAGTTCATTCTTAGAAAATAATTGTATTCCTTCCTCAACAAATTACAGTAGAAAATGCTGATCCAGGACAGTGTAGGGTAGTAGAATGACCACTACAGTCACGGTCATAAATATGGGTTCAAATCTAAACTCTACTACTTACTACCTGTGTGACCCTGGGCAAGTCAACTCCCTTCCCCTCAATTTTCTCATCTGTAAGATGAGGTGGGTTAGACTAGTTATCTTTGGATTTCCAAGTGAAAATGAGAATTGATTTGCAAAAAGCCCTCCAATTAGTTTTCTTTAGCCTTACGTTGCCGAGATGAGCCAATGGCTTGAGGAGCAGAGATTCTCATCCCATTGTGTGGTGGACAGCAGCCACAGAAGACAATTGCTCCAGACACCATACACTAAGATCCATAGCTTTGTTTCTGGGCATGAATGAATGATTCATGTATGCTGTTCCATACTGATGTCTTTTCAGACATTGTGTTGTAATTTCTTTTTGTCTTTTAATGAAATTTCTTCTTCAGTGACCTTAAGAAGCTGGTGAAGATCCAGAGGCCACAATATTTTTATCTCTATCAAAGTGCTTAGTGGATCATAATATCTTGAACTGCGAGCATGCAGATGGAAGCATCTTGAGGCATTTAGCCACTTGTGCAAAACCTGGGATTTGTGAAATTCAGAAACATTGTGAAATCCAAAAGCATTTGAATTGGATTTCATCAGCCCCTGCAGGTGAAGAAATCTTGGGTTCTGAAAGTGCTGAAGTGAATACAAGAAATATAAGACTTGTACGAAACCAAATTAACAGCGATGTTCTTCCTTTGGGGCTGTTAAATACCCATTCAGAGGAGATAGTTGTGATATTGGGATAAAAGCATTTGTACAGAGTTTTAGAAGCTTTTAGAGTTGCTTGTCTTTTTCTGGTATTTATGAAATGTGCTGATGGTCTGTGCAGAGGAAATTGAAGCAGGAGGCTTCTTCTCTGCCTGTCAAATTTCTTGACTGGAGTCAAGACAGATTATAAAGAACAAGTCAACCCTGCTCAGGTTTCTCTAGAGCCCTGGATTCTCTTCTGTCCCCCTTTCACATGATATCTTCTATCATATTAGTGCTGCATTTGGAGTCAAATCATATGGGTCCAAATTTTAGCCCTGAGGCATCTTGGGCAAAGCCAATTAACTTCTCTGGGAGCCTCAGTCTCCTCATCTGTAAAAAGGGAACACTGCATTAGATAACCTCTATGGTGCCTTTCACCTCAAAATCTATATTCCAGAGTTATTTGGGTAGATATTTCATTCCCTTCAGTAGATGGTAAACTTCTTAGATGTGCCAGGAGGGCAGAGTCCCTTTCCATCCCAGTTTCCTCATTGCCCAGGAGAGTAAACACTTAATGTTTGCTGAATTAAATTGACAGCTGATTTAGCATGCAGCTTTAACTGTAGCCACACTGAGTCCTTCATGGTTAGCTACCAAGAAAATTCATTGTTGCAGCAAGGTTGCTAAGCAGCAGCGATAGCTCGGTATCTGAATTTTGGTCAACACTTCATTATTTCTTCATAGAACAGCAGCTGGGGCAACTGAATGGCTGGGCATGCTGTCCTGTTCTCCTGTCAGACCTTGAATCCCATCCTATTTCCAGTCTAGTCCAAGCCAAATTAATGTAGCTATGTCCATGGAGATCATGTTGCAAAACTACCCCCTCAGGCTCTTGCATTTCTCTTCTAACCAGGAGGGGCCAGGCTTTCACTCAGCATTGTAGACATGGTTCCAAAAACAGAAAGAGAGAAGACTAGCCCATAAAATTTTTAACTGCTGGTAAAATACTGTTTATTCTTCAGTGTGAGGATTGGGGTGTTTTGTACCAGTAGTCTGAGAAAGTACGCTGTTTCAGGTTGCATGTTGTAGAGTAGGGGAAAGAGCTTTCGCTATAGGGGTTCAAAGACCTGAGTTCAAGTCCTTGCCCCTACTACCTGCTAGCTATGTGATCTTGAACAAATGACTTCTTTCTGGGCACAATTTCTTTATCTGTAAAATGAAGGAGGTTGGTTGGGCAAGGTGACCTCTCTTTCAGCTCTCTCCATGTTTTAATTGATAACTGGGTGTGGAGATAATATTTGTAAGGTGTTATATGAATGCTAATCATTATTATTATTATGTAATAACATAACAATAAAAATGAATAACATAAAATTAACAATTAAATTATATAATATAATGTAATGATAATTATTACTATGTAATTGTGCCATATTCATGAAATACATATTTTTATTTTCAGGTTATAAAAGAAGTCTACAACAATTGCAGTGGACCAGTGGATTCGGATGGACCTTCCTCGAGTTCCCCAGTGCACAAGATGGAGCTAGAGAAGGTAATGGCATGAAAGAGAAGACCAAGAATGTGGCTTCTGATTGATTGACTCAAACCACCTCTAATTCCTCTTGTAATGAACATTTAAACCTATTGTCTTGCTTTATCTCCCCATTGGACCAAGAAAAACTATTCAATAATCTCTTTGTAAACTCTGGAACCTCATTCCCTGGGATGGCCTTGCCCAGGGAGGAAGAATGTCTCATCCTTTTGTTCATGCTCCCCTGTTCTACAAGAATGGCTACTTACTGTTACTTCTTCAAGAGCCAGCCACACATTTTTGTAATACAAGTGTTATCATCTCTTCATTGCAAATTTTTAGGTTTACATTTTTTTTTTAATGTTGCATGGTCCTATATGGAGGATCCATGAAATAAATAAAACACACACACTCATACACACACACACAAATGTGGACACAATGAGGGACAGCATGGTGTGGTAGAAACAATCCTGGGTTTGAAGACTGAGGGCTTAACTCTCTACTTTACTTTCTTTCTCTGATCCTCATCTGCAAAATCTCTTCTAACTCAGTGAATTTCACAGGATGAGAAGATGTAGAGGGATTTATAGTCTGTTCAGATACATAGTATGTAATCAGACATATGAAAGGACCAATCCATTGAAGTATCTAAGCATATCATCATGAATCAATGAAGTTTCCTAGTCCATCAGAGGTCTCCTGGGTCTGTGTAAAGAGCATTGGACTTGGAGTCGCAAGGCTAAGGTTGTAGTTCCATTTCCTCTGCTTGTTAATTGAAGTCCAGTGCATCAAAGAAGTATTCATTGTCTACTGTTTGTAAGGCATTCCACTGGGCCCTGAGGATACAGAGACAAAAATAAAACCTTCTTTGCTCCCAAGGGTCTTAGATTCTATGAACAATACTGATTTTATTTTTAGCCCTGATTTTATTCATTGACCTTTGGACAAATCACTTGCTTTTTCAGAATCTTAGTTTTTCCTATCTCATTACATGGGAGTAATGCCTCAATCTATCTATTTCTAAGGTTGTTGTGAGATTCAAATGAGATAAAGGATATGAAAGCAATATAGAATTTTTAAAGTGCCACATAAACGTGAGTTGTTACTGTTAAAGACCTTAGCTTGAAAAGACCAAGATCACCATCGCATCCTGGGCCATCTCCAGTTGTCCTGATCCATATCTGGCCACTGGACCCAGATGACTCTGGAGGAGAAAGTGAGGCTGGTGGCTGCACAGCCCTCTTAAATCACTTAAATTCATTTCGCTTGGATGTCACGGCATCACCTCCCTGATATCATGGTTCTCTGTGAGAAAGAAGAACAAACAACAGCAGCAATTACCAACCACTGAAAATGTGCTTTTCAGAAAAGCGATCATTTCTATTTTTCCTGTCCCTCTCTACTGTATTCTCTTTACTTTTTGAAAGGTAAGACTGTAGAAATAATAGGAAATGTTGAAACAAGCCAGTCCTTAACTCAAGGACCTTTCTTTGCTCCCTTGAGTTGTAAAAGACAACTCAAAGTCAACAAGCATTTATTAAGCACCTTGTGGTTCCAGGCTCTACGGCAGGCGCTAGGGATAGCAAGAAAAGTGAAAAGCTAAACCAAAACATTCCCTGGGTTTTCTCTCAGAATATTTCCTTTTCAGGGCCTTACTTCTACTAAGCAGGAGTTCTTCTATACTTCTACTGTACATCAACTGGTCCTTGAATTCCCTGGAGTTACATGGTACGCTTCCAGGCAATGCTGTCACTTGAGGAAATTTCTGGTGATAATAATATTGGTATTCTCTACCCTCATAGATTTGTTGTGAGGAAAAACTCACATTTTAAGACCTTCAACTAATATTTAAAAAAAAACCTTAAAATGTTATGTAATTGTGAGTTACTATTACTATCACATCTATTTGACAGATGAAGAAATTGAGGCTAAAGAGATGAAGTTTCTTACACAATTGGTTCCAGTAGGGACTTGCTTGTAATCGTAAGTGGAACTGTTAGTAATTTTGCTTCCAGAGAGCATTTTTCTCTCTGAATAGTGGCATGGGGAACATTAAGAGATACTAATGAATGTCACCAAGGGCAATGCAGATTTTGAGAGGAAGCATTTTTGGAGAGCAGATGACTTTTGCAGACCATATGAAAGACCAAACCTATGGAAGTGTTTAGCAGAGTGAAGTAGATACTATAGCATCTGTTAGAGTAACTGCAGGGTGGTAGTGTTTCTGTTTGATTTCCAGTGCTTTCACAGTGATATAAGCATCTAGGCTCTATGTTCTTAGTTATCTCATTATTAACTTCTGGATGGATTAGTGCTTGTTCCCCTTTTATTTCACATTCTAGAGTACTTTTAATTGATGCTAGACCCACCGCAGAGCCAATATGACCACTACAGAAATGATCTCATCCTTTTGTCCATGCAGAAACTGTCCTCAGAGAGGCCGAGCTCAGATGGGGAGGGTGGTGCAGAAAATGGGATTACCATGTGCAACGGAAAAGAACAAGGTGAGTTGTGAGGACGGTCCTCCATTGTTCAAATATTTGAAAAAATTCTGACTGTGTGAAACGTCTAAACGTCAATTCGATCAGCAACTTAAGTAATGTGGAAGCTAGAGGCCTGTCCTACCATTCATCAGAGTGAAGGAAACCTCTTTTGGTACATTTCAAGCCTATCTATGATTAGTTCTCTCTTTCTTAGACTTTCCCAATGTTTGAGTTTTATTTTATTTTGTTTTTAACCGCAACAAAGGTTCTTAAGTGAAACACAATAAAAGACAATGTAGTATAATAGGAAAAGTAATGCATCTGGAGTTCTGAGCCCTCAGTTCAAATCTTGACTGCTGTTTCCCACCTGTTTTTTACCTTCTTGGGCAAGTTATTTCATCTCTCAAGGAAACTTGAGTTCTAATCAGTAAAATGAGAGAGCTGGACTAGCTTTGTATCCCCAGTGCTTAGCACAGTGCTTGGCACCTAGTAAATACTTGATAAATGCTTGTTGGCTTGTTGGCTGACTGAAGAGGCAAGATCTCTGATTATGGAACAGTTTTTCTTTATGTGACTCTACATAAGCCATTTGGGGACAGTATCTATACCGTGTTAGTTTCATACGGAAACAGGATTCATTGGTTCTAAGAGGACATAGGTAGGACATCACTCAGATGGTTTGAGATTCCTAGGAGACCCACCTGCTACACAGGGGTTGTCGTGAACAGCTGGAATGACTGGAGGCTGACTGTGGGAGCATTATTGTTTCCACCACTGGCCACAGTTGTGCAGAATATTCATGGGAGTTAGCAGAAGAAACATCACTAGTGTACCATCAGACAGACTATACTGGAGGAGAGGTCAAGAGTTCTGGAAAGAGGGGCTCATGGCGGTGTCTATTTTGTTGGAGCCTCCTGGGCTTCATTGCAGTGAGTTGTACAGAGGACGAGGGAGAGAGTATGATGATGAAACTACATTTCAGATCCAGGCTTGTCTTGTTATCTTGGTTGGAATTTATTCCCATGGCTAGAGAAAGGGTATCTAGCTAGTGTCCTGCAACCAGGACATGATGTTGGGGGCCTTTGTGCATATTCTAATCAATTGAGATGATCATCAGCTCATCTCAGCAAACATTTATTAAGCTCCTACCACGTACCTAGCACACGGCTTGACCCTGAGAGAGATGCCAGCCTTGCCCTCATAGGCCTCACATTCTAGAATGATATAGATGAAATGCAATGGAAAATAAAACATGGTAGATGTCTTATAATGTAAGGAAGGAAGGTTATGCTGATTTGGCAGTCAGGAGATCAAGAGGAGGACTTCTTAGAGAAAGTGGCATTTACCACAGACAATCCAACCAAAGGGTGGTCAAAAACTTCATTCCCAACTTGTCTCTCTTTTGCCTCTTCTCATTTTCTCCCATACATCATATTTATTCATCATATTCACTCTGTCCTCCCCACCACACTCTCCCAGTTGGGATTTACAGCTTCTTGAAGCCATGATTGTCTTTTCCAATGCTGTGTCCTTAAGCAGTAAGCATAATGCTTCACACATAGTAGGTGCTTAATAAAAATGTATTTTATGGAATGGAATGGAATGCAGCTGAAGTCAGGATGAACCAAATGGAAATCCTCTTCATTCCTAAAAATCCTAATCTGGGAGGCCCACAATATGTGGATTGTGCTACTTGTCTGGCCAGTTTATGGTGGAGAGTGCACTGGTCAAGGGCATGACCTCTGTTTTGATCACAAGTGGTTCTCCCCCTCCTCTCTCCAGGGTGTAAATGATAGTTTTCTCCAAGGAAGTAATTCAGGGAAAAGTGTTATCTCTGTCTTCCTCAGGGCATGTCATATATGATTAAAAACAGGAAAGCTATCTTTAAGTTTGGCTCTGTCAGGAAATAGCCTGCAGTCCCCATGTAGTGTTTAAAAATGGGACTTTAAGTCTTAAGTAGTTTGTGGAGTGTTTTGTTTCTCTTTGTTTCTTACTCCTTCTTCAAGTTTGGATATTTGAAAGTGAGTGCTACCTCCAGATAGCATGATAAATTAAAACCAACTCATTTAAAAGTGCATTGAAAGTTCAGAGATCATTTCAATTTTTTTAAGGAAAGTCAGTGGAAAGGGGGCTGGTCTTGTAGTTAAAAGAGATCTGTGTTTGAATGACACTTTAAACTTGCTGGAAGTATATTCCAGTATAATATAGTCAATTCATCTCTTTGAGTCCCTTGGTTTTCTCATCTGTAAAAAAAAGGGATAGTAATAATTACACTACCTGTCTCATGAAACTTTTGTGGGGAAGGCACTATGTGAACTTGAAGGTGCAAAAAAAAATATGTCTTATTTATTATTTGGGGCAAGTAATGTTTTTTAGATATTTGCTTCAAAGGTTTGGGTTTTTCAATGTAGTATGAAGATGTAATGTAAAGAGAGCTAGATTTGGGTCAATCAATGATTAGTGTTTATTAAGTATTATTAGTATTTATTAAGTGCTTATTATATGCCAGGCACTGGGGATTCAAATACAAGCTAAAAGAAGGACAATTCCTGCCTTCCAGGAACTTACATTCGAAAAGAGCAAGAAAACACACAGAAGAGGCCTGAAAAAAGACAGCAGAGGAAGGGTCTGGGGCCCTTGTCCAAAGTGGAGGTTCAAAGAAGTGCTCAAGAGTTTGAGAAGGGGCCTGTAGAAGTATAGTCAAGAGACAGCTGAGGAAATTCAGAAGGCCTGGGTTACTCATTCTGTGGTTAGCGTGATATAGTGTAAATAAGGCTGGATTTGGAGACAAAGGGCAGTGGTTTGAATCCTGGTTTTGCTGTTTATTTATTATTGGTCAGTTCATTTAATCTCTGTAGGTCTCAGTTTCCTAATCTGTAAAATAGTGCAGGTAGACTAGAGGACACTAAATCCTTTATTGTTCTAAGTCTATGATGCTATGATTTTTGCACAGACATGCACAGGCACATTTAGATGTGGCTATTTGTCAGCACAGCTATTGGAGAGATTTCTGAATTGGATGAGAGATAGTCCTCTCAAATTCATTCTAATTCTGTTAGGGTCTGTGAGTCCCTTTCTTCTCTGTGCCTCGATTTCCCCATCTGTTAACTGAGAGGGTTGGACAACATGTTCTCTAAGGTTACTTTTCGCTGTTATTTGCTATGATTTTGTGGCACTAGCTTCCCATGTTGTACATGGCTTTGTTCTTTTAGGCTCCTTCCATCTCCAACTTAGAACCCATACTTTTCCTTTGTCAAATTGTGAGGTTCTATTAGCTCCACAACCCAGGCTTATTTCACTGCTTTCTAGTTGCGCCTCCTGGTTTGGGACATTCCAGAACACATCTGTCCAAAGCCACAGTGACTTGCTTTCCCTGAAGAATTCCTCCCCCCCTCTTTTTTTCTTTCAGGAGTGGTGGATTCATTCCTTAAGTTTTGGCAAAGTAAAGCAGTGTAATACAAAAATAATGAGCCTGGGTGTGCATCTCATTAAAATGACTGTCTATGAAAGGAGAGAGGAGTCTGTCAGAGTGGAGAGACCCAAGGGGCAGAACTAGCGGACATGTCCACACCCACCGTTTCACAGATCTATTACACGATAGTTTATGCAAGAAACTATTGGCAAAAGCATTGAATAAATACTTTGGGTGATACTAACTCATTCCCCACCCATCCTGATAAAACGATTCCTAAAGTTTAAAGGCACTCATTCAGTTTGCTCACATACTCCTGCTTAGGTTGTACTCAGCGTGCAGAAATGCCAAATGTGTGGATTACATAAAAGTTTAAAATTTGTTTTGTTTCTGTATCTGCTTTTCAGTAACCCACTCAGCCCAGGTTGCTTGTATACACCATTTGAGGACACACTAGATTTTCTCTCATGGGTGGTCAAGTAGAATAGACTGAGCATTCTCTGCTCTTTTGATTTTTAAAAATATTTCTTTATCTATAAAATGAGTGGTGGCTACATGATTCCCATGGTTCCTTCCAGCTCTAACATTCTAGGTAATTTCTTACTAAAGTCTTATTCTAGCTCCCACATTCTGCGGCTTTGTGGATTTATTTATTTTTCCCCCAGACCTATGATTTCATTAGTTTAAGGAGCTCCTGGTGAGAAGACTCCTTCTAACAATGCAGATGTGGAACTGTCGTGTAGAAGCAAAGCAGCTGCTTGAGGTCACATAGTCATATATTTCATTGGTGAGACCTGAAGGAACCCAGTTCTTCCTGGCTTTCAGGCCATCTCTCTATCCACTATACTCTCATGAATTAATTTATGAGGGCTCAATTCTTTAAGAAATAAAATTTCCTGATATCCTTTTTTTTTTTTTTAAGTGGGATGTGCAATTTCACTGGTATTTGGAACTCTGACATCAGGCAACTTTTGGGCACTGAGAAGGTGGTGACTCACCCAGAGTTGCACAGCCACTAAATGCCTAAGGCAGGACTTTGACTATAGTTTTTCTTGAGTTCAGGCAAAGTCTGTACCCATTATGCAATACTATCTCTCTTATTTTAATATTACTATTTCTGTGTCACCTTTCTAAATTGGAAGTACGTTGTGATTTTTTTTCCAGTCCCTGCTGGCTTATTGGGGACTGGACAAGATCAAAGATTTCTTGGATTACCTCCACAGGTTCAAATCCTTGTTCTTCAATAATTGCTTTTTTTTTTTTTTTAGGCAATTGGGGTTAAGTGACTTACCCAGGGTCACACAGCTAGCAAATGTCAAGTGTTTGGTCTGAGGTTGGATTTGAACTCAGGTCCTCCTGACTTCAGGGTTGGTGCTGTATCCACTGCACCACCTAGCTGCCCCTCAATAATTGCTTCTTCCCAAATTGCTGGGGATAAAAATAAAGAAGTCACCTGGTGGCCGACCCTCTGGTAATGAGCCACTGCTAACATAGGCTAACAGGTTCTCTGTTGTTAGCATCACCATCTGTCAGTAAGCCTCAACATCACAGTGGTGAGGCCCAGGAGAAGGGACACCCTGAAAAGGACAATGGGTATATCTTTACAGAGTGATTTCTTTAAAAAATAAAAGTTATTTTCCATTGTGACTCATTTCTTAGGTCTAAAGAGTGTAATAACCCTGCCAGAATGAGAAGATTTAGTTGAATGACATCATTTGTAAGGAAAGGTTAGGATCTCTCTCTTTCTCTCTCTCTCTCTCTCTCTCTCTCTCTCTCTCTCACACATCTCTTTTTCTCATTCTATTATTTTCTCTCTCTTTCTTTCTTATTCTCTCATTCTTTGTCTCTGTCTCTCTCTATGTTTCTGTCTTTCCTTCCTCTCTTCTTCTCCCTTCCTCCTGTTTTTCTGGGTCCTGTAATTCCGTTGACCTAAAAGCTTTAGAAATTCTTCTTCTGGCTTAGCTCAAGTCTAGTATGAGGTTATCCCCTTGATATTCAAATGAAACCTCAGTTTAGGAAGGGTTCTGAGGAAGGTCATCCCCTGTTTCTTAGGACTGTCATAGCTTAGTTAGGCTGAACATGCAGGATACAGTTACCCCACCGACAGACCAGTATGTCAAATGATAATTGTCGTGGAGATGAGCCTTTAGATGAAGCATTATAAATAGATTTTGGTGTTTTATTTTTGAAAAGGGGCCATTTGTTTGTTTTGCTGTGTATGCCTCCACAGTTCATGTTTTTAGTATTATCATGCAGGTCTTTGATCTGACTTTTTTTTTTTTTTTTGAGAAAGAAATGTAGGACTTGCTTATTTTGGAATCTGGTCAGCTTTCTGTGCTTTGTACAAGAAGCCAATGAAAGAACAACAACCAGTCAATAACAAATCACTTCAGTTTCTTCATGTAGAGAACATAGGGGCTTGGAAACTGAGACCAGGAAGACAGAGATAACAAAAGGGAGGGAGAGAGAGAGAGAGAGAGAGAGAGAGAGAGAGAGAGAGAGAGAGAGAGAGAGGGGTGAGAGAGAGGGGGGGCGGGAGAGAGAGAGAAAGCACAATTTGAAGACTGATTTGGCAGGCCTAGAGCTTTTCTCACTTTTCTTTCCCTCCACCTCCCCAGGCAGTTGGTGTTAAGTGACTTGCCCAGAGTCACACAGCTAGTAAGTGTCAAGTCTCTAAGACCAGATTTGAACTCAGGTTCTACTGACTCCAGGGCCGATGCTCTATCACCTAGCTGCCCCCTGGTCTGACTCTTCTTGCCACAGTTATTAAAAATGGTGGGAAATAGAAGGGAGGCCCTTAAAAATGGAGAGAGAAAAAAAATTAGGTAGAAAAGAGAGAACAAAATACAGGCGATACTGGGGGAGGCCGGATGAGAGGAGGTACAATGTTGTGTAATATGTTAGAATCTGGAATAAAAATTTATAGGATCTGAGAATGATAATGAACTGGAGCCAGAAATGAAGAAGAGAGAAGGGGGTGGGCTTGCCTTTGGGAAATTGTGTAGTGCTTATAATGACCTTTAGCTTCTTCCTGAAACAAAGACTTATCTTTTTAGCATCAGAATTCTTCTGGTGGTGCTCTGTGACTGTGAGTCATAGAATACCATAGCCTCTGTAGGATTAAAAGCTGAGGGTCACCCAGAGGACAATGGAGAGGCATATGGCGGGTGTGGGTTGGCTGCCACATATTACCAAGAAGGAACTGTTCAGGAGAAATTACAGAAAGGATGTCATCAGAAACACATGTGGCAGAAAAAGAAGGTGGGTGGATCCTATAGGAAGAGCCAGAGATGATTGATGGATGGCTTCACATGCTCCACTGATATCAACGTAGGGTCAAGAGATTTAAAAGACGTAACCCAGTGTATTAGGAAGACATTGTATAGGAGAAAGAACCTTGGGTTATAGTCAGAGGAACTGAGTTCAAGTGCCTTTTCTTGCACTTAATAATTTTGTGATCTTGGGCAAATCACTTTTCAGTCAATAAACATTGATGAAGGGTTGACTTTGTATCAGGCACTGGGCTAAGCGCTAAGGATACAAAGAAAGATAAAAACATGACCCCTGACCTCAAGGAGTATACATTCTAATGGGGGAAGATAATGTGCAAACAATCCAAACAGTTGGATCAAAGATCTAGAGATGAAGAGACCATAGACCTAATTGATCCCTTCCTGAATCTCTTGAGAAGTGTTTCCTTTTCCCCAGTACAGAAGCCTGTATTGATGTTTTGCGTGGTTTCTATAGTGTCATGGGAAGATGACTGGATTTGGAGCCAGCCACTTCTTAGTCATGCAAACACAAGCAAGTCGTTTTTCTCAGTTTCTCATCTATAAAATGGGAATAGCACTTGCCCCGCCTCCCTCACAGAGCTGCCATGATGATCAAATCACATAATGTGTGCAAAAAGCTTTGTAAACTATAAAACACAATGCAAATGCTAGCTGTTAATATTATTACAATCATTTTAGGACTGAATTTGCTCTGTCTACCCTTACTTGCTAAGTCTGATATATTCTACAGGGAAGGGAGTGTGGCGCAGGGGGTTGATAGCGATGGCAATGGCTCTGTACTCAGAGAACTTGGGTTCAAATACTTCCTCTGGCACTAGATGAGTGACCATGAGGCTGTATTTTAACCTCTCTGAGCCTCATTGTCCTCATTTGTAAAATGATGGGATTCACTGGAAAAGCCTCTAAGACAGGAGGACTTACCCTTTTGTGTCATGGCAGTCTGGGAAAGCCAAAATGTGGGTTTTGTTTTTTAACTCTTACTCAAAAGAAATGCTAAATTTGAATTAGGGATTAATGAAAATAGAAATATAATTGTTTTCTCAACTAAGGATCCCCTGGAATCTATCTGTGCACCTTGTGGAGCCTAGAATAACAACCTATTCTAAGGTCTGTTCTATCTCTAGACATAAGATCCAATTGCTTTGATTTTTTTTTCCCCAGTTGGCTGTTATTACAACACACTTATGGATTTTTCCCCTTTTTTTTATAGTTAAGAGGAAAAAAAGTTCAAAGTCAGAAGCCAAGGGAACAGTGACAAAAGTCACTGGGAAAAAGATTACCAAGATCATTGGTCTAGGAAAGAAAAAGCCATCAACAGATGAACAGACCTCGTCAGCTGAGGAAGATGTACCCACCTGTGGTAAGAGGGTGTTTTGTAAGACTTTAGACATGGGTTTCTTTTCTCTCCTCTTCTGGAGGATAGTGTTTAACCTCCAATCCAGCACTTCTGCTAAATACTTGGTTTTGGATGCACCTCATTTATAATTTGGGATCATTCTAATTAAGACATTGAACAAATTTGACTTTTGCACTATCAGTAAGACTTCCTGCAAGATAGAGACAAGGAGCGAATGTGTTCCATGCATGGAGGATGACCAGTGCAAGGACACGAGGCGGGAGATGAAGCGCCATGTGTGAGGAACCACAAGAAGGCATGTTTTGCTGGTCTCTAAATAGTTGAAGTTTTGTGAATGAACCATGTAGATTGCCAAGGGAAACTGAAGAGAGAACAAAAAACTGAGCCTTGGGGCATAGCCACGTTTTGGAAGGAAGGAGAGGAAAATGGAGACAGCAAAGGATTCTGAGAGGAAACAGCTTGTGAGATAGGGGAAAAGTCTGGACAAAAATATCCAGAAAAATCAAGAGGGGGCTGTTTTAGGGAAAGAAGTTGAAAACTTCTAAGGTCAAGGTAGGATAAAGGAGATAAGACAATGGATTTGTCAAATAAGAGATGTTTGGTACTAAGTTTTGTTAGAATGGTGGTCATACAAGCCAGAATCTAAGGTGTTAAGTGGCTAGTGAGGCAAGTTTTGAGAATCTTTGTGGTGAGAAGGAGCAGAGGAGGGGAATTCGGGGAGGTAATGGTCAAGGGTACAATTGTTTTTATAATAAACTAACTCCTTTTATGAAATAGTAGTATGAGGGGATCTTAGGAAATTTTGAGATGATGAGGGATTGTTATAGAGACAGAAGGCCTGGGTTCAAATCCTAACTCTATTATTTACTACATAGGTGTTGTTGGGCAAGCCTGGTCTTTCAGGTTCCTCATCTATAAAAGGAGGGGGATTTACTAGATGATTTCTTTTCCCTCTTCTCACTTGAAATCTTATGATCTTGTTGTTCAGATATTGTCCCAGGTCCCTTGTTACTCCAACAGACTATGATTCTTTCATCTTCCCATGGATTTTTAGTGGACCCAATCGGTAGGATACCAAAGCCTGGGATTTCAAGATGGGAAAGCAGATAGTGGGAGTGGCCAACTTATGGACAGACTTCGTGAGAGGTCAGGGCAGTAAGGAAGTTGAGATGGAAAGTCCCCATTTCCTACAGGGAGGAGTCAGGGAGTCAAAGTCTCCTGTATTTGAAAGGCTTGGCAATTAACCTTACTTAACTAATTCTAAATAAACAAAACTACGTTTCTATTTGTGAGCATAGAGTCAAATAAATGGTTTTGCAGAGTGTCTGTTGGAGGCACTGCGGATCACTGTAAATCAGTAGCCCTATAATTACCCATATGTATCTCTTTTAAAATGCATTATCAACATCTTTCAGATTTTGGTTCTCTTGAAAGAATAACATTCTTGTACAAAATTTTTAAACTGTCACCTAATTGAGCATTCAGGGAGTGAGGTGTAGGGATGAGGCAAACGCTTCCTTTTGGATGTCGGTAAAAAAGAAATAAGTTTTTTTTTAAAGACTTATTTCCAGCCATAAGCACAGCTGTGAAGTATCAAGCAAAAGGGTGACCTCGACAGAGCCCAGCAGACAGATCCTGCCAAGCTGAGCCTGCTACAGCTGCTGCTTAGCTTCCCCACAGAGAGGAAATTCTGAACCAATCGAGCTGATAGAAGACAGGCATACCGGAGACAAGAGGCCGTGAGTTCGAAACCCAACTCTTCCATGAGAAGTGGCAGGAACAGCTGGACCTCTGCAGGTTTTCATTGGTAAAATGAATGTAAGAAGAACAGGGTTGGACCTTCCACTTAGAAGCCAGATCAGTGGGTGAGACTCATGAAAAAAGAGACTGTTATGTGCTGTTAGTTACAGTATTGTGGAGTCAGAGAATCACAGAAGGGTAAAGCTAGAAGGGACCTGAGAAGAAGGAGCCAGAGGGGACCTGAGAATAGGAAGAACAGCAGATGCATAGCAAAGGATGGTATCCTATCAAAGAAAGTCAGAGCTGGAAGGGACCTAGAATGCCATCATTGGGAAGGACCTTAGAGCACAGAATGTTCGAATGTAGAACATGGAATGTTACAGAAGAAGCTGATCTGAGAACCTAAGAAAGAGTTCAAGAACGTAACCTTAGAACATGGAATGGTAGAACTAGAAAGGGGCTTTCCAGACCAGATAGCCCATCCTAAATGATTAACACGAAGTGATACAGGACTGAGAGTCAGTTATGGTCAGATGGCAAGCAGGTACTGCTTTTTAGGACTCATAGGATGTTGTATTTAGAGAATGACCGGAACTGGTCCCAGAGGGAGCTGGCCTCAGTGAACACCAATGGGGTGTGATCTGAGGATTTCAGACCAAAAAACGTATTCTCAACTGACCTACCTCACTGACTAAAGTTCCTTGACGAACTTGGTACCAATAGAAGAACAATCTGAGATGTTATTATTAAGTGATAAGGCCAATTCTTTAACAGACAAATTCAGACTTACCCTTTCGGATGATTTTGAGCACCTCCAAAATAATTCACTTGGGGGGTGGGACGTAGGAAGCTGTGTTTCTTCCCATCATGCTTCCATTCATCAAAACTATTTTAAGATGCCTTTTGGGAAGCGATCATCTGAGCTCAGTTAACAACCACACCAGAAAACACATCTTGACGTTTTATAGCCACACCCAAAATAAAATTCCCCAGTTATGTTATTCACCAGACCTGCCCTTTTGGCAGTTTTCAAAAGGCAAATCTTTCACCTCGGAGAAAATTGAAGTGCTCATTGCCTTCCTTGCCCATAGCGTAGGGATAGAGACTATAATTTCATTAGTATAGGGGAATACTGAGTGAGGGAATTCCTCCTACCAAGGCAGGATTTACTCATAATAGGTGTTTAATAGAGGATTATGGAATTTATTTGAATTAAGTTCATTCTCTCAATTAGCAATTATTAAGTGACTACTGTGTGCCAGGCACGGTGCTAAGCACTGAGGATACAGAGAAAGGCCATTGAAAATAACGTTCAGGGCAGCTAGGTGGCACAGTGGATAGAGCATGGGTCCTGGAGTCAGGAGGACCTGAGTTCAAATGTGATCTCAGACCAGACACTTGACACTTACTAGCTGTGTGACCCTAGGCAAGTCACTTAACCCCAATTGCCTTGCAAAAAAAAAAAAAAGCAAAAAGCAAAAAAGGAAAATAACATTCAACAGGTTTATGACATCACTGTCCATCCTCCTAGTAATGCTCTGAAGGAGACAGACATCCTATACAGGTGGCAGATGTAACTATGGAGAAACAATATGTTCTTAGGGTCAGAAAGTCCTGAGCTCAGAGCCCACCTCTGACACTTACCTGAGGGACCATGGACAAGTTGGTAACTTTCTTGAGCCTTGTTTTCCTCATTTGTAAATGGGAGATAAAAATACCCTGTTGTTATAAGGATTGTATCAGATAATATATGCATGAGAGGCAACTTCGCTTATGTATGTACTTGTATCCCCAATATTGAGCGTAGTGCCTGGCATACAGTAGGTGCTTAATAACTGCTTGTTGATTAAGTGAGGTATGAGAGGCAGTGTGGTGAGAGGGTAAGAACTGGCTGCTCATAGGGAAGATCTCAGTTCATATCTTACCTGATATCTGTTGTCTGAGTGACCCTTAGCAAATCACTTACTTGCCCTCCAAGACTATAACATGAGGTTTGAGCACTATATACTCTTCAGACTCATCTGGATTATTGTATTCATTTGGGACACCCCATTTTAGGAAAGATGTCAATAAAATATGGAGTACATCCAGTTTAGGGCTCTTAGGGTGATGAATCACCTAGGTGGTGCAGTAGATAGAGTGCTGGACCCGGAGTCAGGGACACCTGAATTCGAATCCAGCCTTAGACACATACTAGCTGTATGGCCCTGGGCAAGTCACTAAAGCCTGTTTGCCTCAGTTGCTTCATCTGTAAAATGAGCCAAAGAAGGAAATGGCAAATCATCCCAGTATCTTTGCCAAGAAAATCTCAGATGGGGTCACAAAGAGTTGGACACAACTGAAAAGACTCAACAATAACAACAACAAGCGTGGTGAGGGGCCTGGAAGGATTTGATCCCACATGGAGATTGTCTGTAGGAATTGGGGATGTTCAGCATGGAGACAAAAAGACTTGGGGAAGCTAGGAGGGAGGGAAAGGACCAGCTGATTGAATCAATGGCCCCAGATACACAAAGAGCTGTCATTTGGAAGAGGGAAGAGTGTTATTTTACTTGGTCCCAGAGGATACAATCAGGACCAAAGAGAGGAAATTACAGGGCAGGAAGTTTCTGCTCGGGGAAATATAAAAGCTTCTCACAATTGAAGCAATCTAAAAATGGACTGGACTGGCTCATCAGATAATGAGCTCCCTGCCTCTGGAAATATTCTAACAGAGGCTGGCTATGCAATTGTCCAAGAAGTTAAACAGGACATTCATATACTGGATAGAGTTTATCATAAAGCGTCACCAAAAGTTAGCTCATCATATCCTACCCAGTCATTTACAAATGAGGAAACTAAGGCACTTGTCCAGAGTTACAGTTAGTAAGGAGCTCAGAGGCACAGTGTGAGGGGGAGATGTCACACCATAGCCTACAACACTCCTGGGTTGGTGGTTCCAACCCAGATTAAAATGTAATGAGGAAATATTTAGCAAAATAAACAAAAATGCAATAAGACATAGATATAGTGGTGATTTGTGGTTTTTCTAAATCAATGAATGGCCAACAGGGATCATTATGTCCTTTTTGGTATCTGTTTCTATTAGTGTTTAAAACCATTGGTATAGCGGACTTGGAGTCAGAGAGACCAAGTTCAAATTCTGCCTCAGACATTAGCTGTATGATTTTGGGCAAGTCACTTAGCCCTTTCTGTGCCCTATAAAATGAGTGTGTTGGACCCGATGGCCTCTGAGGTCTTTCGTTCTAAGTTTGTGATCTGAT